ATCGCACTTTTGGCTGCCTTTTGACACTGTGATGATGATTTTAGAGAGGAGGTCATTAGGACGTCCAGGTCTTTCTGTTCCACAACATTTGAAAGGTTCTGACCATCAAGGTCGTATTGAAAGGAATCGTGCTCCTTACTGGTAGTTTTGGTACGGAGTCTCAGGACCACGTATTTGTCCACATTACAAGTAAGGAGCCAACGGGCTGACCAACTGTTCAGGCGGTTGAAGCTGTCTTGAAGCGCGTACCTGTTTGCGTCGGATCTGATGGGTCTCCACAGCTTAACATCATCAACAAACATGATGGCGCTGCATCCCAGGTCGCCGACGCAGTCGTTAATGTAAACCAGGCATAGCAACGGCCCTAAGACGGAGCCCTGGGGTACACCGCTTAGAACGGGGGTAGGAGTTGGCCTTGAGGCCTCAATGCACACGGTTTGTGATCTCCCGGTAAGAAAATCCGTTATCCATGTCAGCAGCCTTCCTCTTATCCCAATTTCAGAAAGTTTGTAGGTTAGGCGTTTGTGTGGGACGCTGTCGAACGCTTTCTTGAAGTCTGTGTAGATGACATCGACCCTGCCATCCTCGTCCAGTGAGCGAGTCCATTGCTCCGTCGAGAGCAATAAACTGGAAAGGCACGAGCGGTTCTGTCTGAAGCCGTGCTGGAGGTCTGAGAGTAAAAGGCCCTGCTCGAGGAACTTCATTGTTGCTTTCTTAACTATGGCCAGTGTGTGTGCCAGTGGTTTGGAGAGTTTATTCGCCAATTCTTTCAAGAATTTGGCCGGTATATTTTCCGGAGCAGAGGACTTTGCTTCTTTAAGATTTTGTAGCTCCCTTTCCAAGACAGCTGTCGGGAAATGTATGAAGTCAAGCAGGGACCAGTGGTCTCGACAGTATTGCTGGCACTGCGACTGCGAAACTCTGTTCCTCTAGTAAAAACCGAGGCAAAATACTGTCCAAATTGGTAGCTTTTAAGTCGCCAACGTACCTAAGAGGTTTCTCATTCCGAAATGTATTAAGTACACCGCTACTCAAGATACTGCAGCGGGCAGCCATCATAACCGATCTGGCGTCATTGTTCAAGATCTCACTGCCTCAAGGTCATTCATCGTTCGCAGCGAGCCGTCCCAGACGCGCTGATCTGGAGTCATTCGACCGACTTCAGCCCGAACACAATTGCGTCCTCACAGTGTCGCGGCTCCCCATGTGCCACTAGAACGCGCCACTCCCTGCGACCAGCAAAGCAAGCCACTGGGACATCACCCCTCGGTAAATGCAACAAACGCTGACTGGACACCACTTGATATTGGCCCACGAGCCCACAAAAGCAGCTGCCATCACTATCTCAGGGACTCTCAGGCCTGACTGGACGCAGTCGACACCAGCACTGGCTTCGCCAGTGGCCACTACTACTAGATAGGACAACTCCGGGTTCTGTGCACAATAAACCTTTCATTCTGGTGCCTTCCGTCTTCTCCTTACGACTTGGGATTCGACCTGATGGTTGTAGCGCTCAGAGCACTTTTTCTCACTGCTGTGCCGCTACAATACAAAGCGTGAACGGACTGTAAAAAATGCACTGAAGATCCCCACTTGTCGCATATTCCAAACAGCAATATCACGGGATATCTTAATCCGCTGTAATGGTAATAATCCTGAAAATGCATATTATTAAGCAGCCAGACTGTGCTATGGATACCCAAGGGCGAATGTCTCAAAAGTATAAAAGAATGATCCAAACTACCATTTTTTTGGCAAAATCTCCATAGGTTGCGAGAGGTGCAAAGCCTTTGTCTCAATATCTTGCACTATATTCAAAAGAGGATTGTCACGTCCCCGTTATCGAGCCTGTAGGGCCACATGTTCGCATGTACTCGACTGTCCGACCGTCGTTAGCCACAATATCCATCGCGAGCGACAAAGCAAGACGAAGCAGCCACGGTGACTTGCGCATGATTTCTTTTATATTGCTAGTCGACTTGCCTTGCATCCACCGCTCTCTACTGCTCTTCCACCTGGGCCCCGCGTCAAGACACAGTCAAGAAGACCGGAGGTGGGGGAAGTCGCAGATAGACGGCTCAGTCGAGCCCACACCTTGGCATTCCACTCCACACCCGCTGTTCCACACAACAGTTAACCAGGATTTCAACCAACAACAAAAGTGGGGACGGCGGTGACCCTAATGTGCGCGACCTGAGCCGAAAGCAGTGATTACCACCACACCCCCAATTTTATCATTTGTTATGATGCACATGTCGATAACGCCTGCCAGAATCTGGTAGGACCCCCGTGGTAGTCCGACACATTTACCTCCTCGCCCGTTTTCGGGGCCCTCATATGCAGTCAGTGGGTTATTATTCGTCAAAAGGTTAGGATCTATCTTGACTATATTCTCGACATCATACAAAAGACTAGGACTGCATTTTCGACCAAAAATCGTTCACTTACCTAGAACGATTTTACTTAGGTCTAGGAACGATGAGCGATTAGTTCTAGCCACGGTGGTGTCGAGGTCCCATCTCCGTTTTGGATCTTTCGCCATGTCTGCCTCAAACTCGCATTCGCAAGCGCATTACAATTACCTCCCGTTCCCAGCTGGTGACTTGCGTTTATAATTTCATCCTACCCTTGGGACTAACCTGCCCGTTTCCTCAACTTCCCTTTGCGATGTAGTATTTTCTCCTGAATTTTTTTCAAGAACGAGGGTTCGTTAACTCTCCCTTCTCGTTTAATATTTACGTGCCTTTTCAATGATTCGTTTTCATCTCACCATTTTTTCTGAAGATTTTAATTTGGAAACTGTGGATATTATTATCAAAAGTATCGTATGTCTTGAAAATCGTTGCCTACTCCTCATAGTGCCGTCTCTAAGTCCTACTGTACATTTGGCAGTTCACACAGACCATTACTGTATGAATTTTCTGTCTTTTACCAATTGAATCGGTATTGAGTTTGACAGTGCCCTCTGGGCATTTGAAAACAAAACTGTTCATATTATTATAATTCGTAGTCGTAAAATCCGCCGTCGAACTGAAAACGATGGTTTTGGAAAGGAGCTTCCTACAAGACAATTTCACTGCAATCTCTCTAGAAGCAGGACTGAGCTCTCCAGTAGAGGTCCGCAGTTCACGTTGCTGTTGTTGACATCATACATACTTTTGACACTGCACCACATAGAAGACTGTGCTATAAACTCGAAAGAATATGGGCCAGGAGTAATTTCCTCAAATAGACCGGAAATTTTCGTGTGGGTCCGGCCAGTTTTTGTGGATCAGTCAAGAGAAATCAAAACCTGCTGCGGTCGAGGGCGCTGTACCTCAGGTACAGTACTGCGACCTATTATTTTCCTAAGATAGGAATTAGCATTTGAAGTTGCTCGAATATATCGCGACGTCCACTATCGTCCTACTTTATGAATATTTCATGAAAAAACTGAACTGACACAGTTTCTGAACATGAAAAATTGATATTCATTTGAAGGGGTTGGACGATTGAGCGAAACGCACAATAATCCACTCGTCTGAAAATTCTCATATCAGTTTCTCTCACCAAGTTTCGCGTGTAAGGTTGCGTACTGTACGTGCAGGATTGTTGTAGGTATTTGGACTGTGAATCTGTAAAATTTGCTAACGACAAAAAGATTTCGAGTATGACCCGAAGTTCTTGTGACGAATATAGACTGCAAACGTGTTTGAAAGCTAAGGCCAATAAATCGACCGTCTCAGTGATCGTGCCTTCGTCTTCTTTTAAACATGAGCCTGAGATGCGCTTTTTCTCGTCCATTTGTGAGACAACAGAGCAGACTATGTTAGCTGTAAGAGCGGTTAATAAGCTGGCTCATGTGGTTTCGCGTCGGTAAGTGTACCAATCCAGATCCGCCAGCGGACAAAACTACTTTCTCGACGGCGCAGCTCTGCAACGCATGAAATTCTAAAAGAACCTTGCTTTGCTGACAACGAACTTCTTAAAACCTTTCGCCCATTACTCGAGAGTAGGTAAAAGGACAATTTTCGTGTTACACGCCATCAAAAGAGGGTTTATGGGTTTTCATAACGACCTTTTCTCCAACAAATTTTCAACAGTTTTGGAGCCGCATTTCAAATTCGTCGTATAAGCCTAAAAACTGTCGACTGTCCAAGTTCGAAAGGGTATCGAAATAGTTCAAGGTAAGGTTGCCAAAGTGCCTACGTGCCAAGGCCCCCTGCCTTATGCAATCCGCATACCAAACTTACATCCCTTTCATTTAGTTATAAGCAAAGTATCGGCATCTCTTGCAAATACAGCTATTGTGAAAAAAACTAGGTTAAAGTTTGAAATTTGACGACCCTTTTAAATTTACCACCACGACCGACCTTTGAGGCCACATCTTAAAACTTCGTGTACCGCAGGCGAGGCTGGATGGACGAAAGTTTCCCTTCTCTGTCAGACAGGTCAATCCATATAATGCCCTTTCTGCAGATGCTGCGATACCACAATCGATAAAAGATCTGAGAAACAGTCTTAACAGATTTTTGTTCTAGAATGGGCTGGGACGATCAGAGTTTGAATTAAACCTTTCAGACTTACCCACAAATTTGCATATTTTATGGCCTCCTTTGCACTAAACCAACCTAAGTGGTTTCTGTGTACAACACCTCCACTTCTATGTTGTCAAAAGGGTACTCCGAAACTCAGTTTACTTCTCTCAATAAACTTAACTGAGCCGAACTTTTGAACTTTTCGTGCCGTGAGCCTAGAAATTCCTCACGTTTGGAGTTATTGCCTTAAAAAGTGTTAAGTATGGGTGTCTGAATGTGGACCATTCTTCGGATCGAAGAAATCTCCTGTTGAGACATCAGTAGAGACATATTATAAAAATGATTTTATGGATTGAGGTTCTGAATAAATTATGAATTCGTATGCAAAAATTTACTAATTAAACTAATTGATAAGACGGTGTAGACCGCGCTTTTTGCATTAGTCCTCTACACCCTAAAGGCTGCTTGTTGGTTCTTTATTTTATGGAGGAATTTCAGTATGTTGACGTCTGGCAGATAGATGAGAGCGTGCCTTCGAGACCTGAGTGCTTGGGACCTACTTTCCACTTGAAACCTCACTGTCCAATATGTGATTCTTGCTACAGTGACTTATATTGCAGTGCCTGCGTTCGTTCTGGTGCTTACTCAGTTGTCACCAAATCGAAGGAAGAACTGAGGCAAGTGGTTCTTACCTAAGCATATTGTTGCCTCAGCTCGTCCGATCTTTTTAAGAGGTTGCAGTCGACCAGTCAAAAAATTCAGCGTTTGTCAATGGAGTACGTACCTCCCTTGAGCTATTTTTCATGACTCTTGTAGGATTCAAAGACACCCCTGCTTTCATGGGGCGCCCAATGACTCAACAGAGGTAAGGTTTTACTTTATTAATTCCCAGACCTCCTCGACTTTAAGTATGATCGAATCCACGAAGCATATGTTGAGTAGCCTCAAAAGCTCGGTGGAAGATAGTGAGTTGGCATCCTTTTCTCCTAAAACTCCACTAGAACACCGAAAGCTATCAGCGATCCGGTCACATATTAAGAAATGTCAAAAGGCCATAGACGAACTTTCTCGAACACAAACTAATTTATCACGACACATGCACGCCATACGCGAGAGGATTTCAGCCAAAGGCGTTGAAATCGTTGATGTTAACAAACAGCTTCACATCATTCGGAGCGAACGGGTTAAAGAATTGTTGCTGTATTATTTCCCCATCAACATTTCGGTGAGTTTTCCCCGCAGCTTTGTAGTTTTTTTGCCATCTCTCTCCGTCCCACTGCCCTGTTTACACTGACCGAAGATCCTCTGGACTTTTTCTACTAGCATTTACTGACCTAATTTACCCGCACGACGTCAACTTACAATCTGGATATTTACTTCATGTCCTGATTTGGCCTTCTAGGATATCTTTCTCTTGTTAGAGTATGGTCGATCGTGCCGACACAATTGCCGGAGTCCCACTCAACATTGATAAAACAAATAATTTGTCAGGTAAGAGATTGCTCGTTCAGCTTGTGGCTTGTATCCATTTTGTCGTTTTCTGTTCATCCACGCAATCAGTGTAATCAAATCGGATGTACTTTAGGTCCCGAACCCACCACTTCTAGTCATGTGGCACTGGCACATGCCGTAGTAGCAGCTCGGACAGTTGCAAAACTTTTTGATGTGTGGCTCCCACCGGCAACCCGCAAACTGCTGTGCCTCGAAAATGTGTTTTCTGGCGACTTTGCCCTTCGAGATAATTTAGCCCATGCTTATTTGACCGTCACACGTGCAGTCCAAATGATCTGTGCGGTCTGTGGCCTTACTTGTCTCCCAGCGGACAAATTATCCTGGCTTGGGCTGTCTCCGGATGAACCTCGGGTTGGCACTGTCGGTTTTATGAAGCCTCTAACGGGTCTTTACGTACTCTGTCAGGCGATGCAAAAATTGGCCTTTATCGGGTAATCTAATGTTTTCTTTAGCGTATTCTTCAATCATTTTCTGCTACCTCGCTGTTCGCTTTATTCGGTGGTCCGTGTATTTTGTTTTATCTTTTAGGAAATTCTTCGATGAACCCTTCTTCTTGGGACCAGATACTTATGAAGGTTTCAATGTATTTGAAGATATTAGGTCTATGTCACTGAGCACAAAACAACGTCAGGGCAGATCTGCCGAAAGCCCTTGCCAGAAGGGTTCTCCTGAGGCTGCTACCTCCCACAACGACTCGGGTTCCCGCCGGAAATTTCCCGATCAAGTTATCCAGTCAGGAGTCGAGTCTGACGAAGATGTCAAGTCTGACGGCGCCCATTCCACTTCCCTTGACTGGGAATTTGTAGACAGCGATCAGTATTGGGAACCTTCGGATGAATCTTGATAACTTTCTTACTTCATTAACTTTTTCCTATTTATTTATATACTTGCGCAGCCTATATATCGTCCTTAAGATGTACATTTCTCTAGTTATTGTAAGATTCCCCCCCCCCATCTGCATCTCCAGTTTCGATTTTTGACAGCTCTGCTCTCCGCCTGTCGTCTCAAGAGTTGACTTGCATTTTTTACTTCTCAGGCATTAGCTCAGACCCTTCCACTCGGCAAAAATATGCCCCCAAGTATTTGTAATCTCAAGGAGTAAATTCCTTCAGAGTCGGCGACATCTATTTTTTCAAATATGGATAGGCCAAAGGTTTCAGCAGGCGTCGGACACCCTCGATTTAACGTGGGATATATCATTGATATTGGTCAGAATGCCCAGGTAGGCGCACACCTTGCAAAAGTAACACACCGTTTCACAAACTTCGGTGCACCCGATGGTATCTTCGCCCACCCTCTAAATGGTACTCAACTCTCGTCTGCGGACCCACAAGGCTGTCATCCGCGCAGCGACCAGCCTCCGGTGATCGGTTCGATCTGCAAGCTGAGCCGCAAAAGCGTCCCGATGCGGTTTCCCCTGTACGGCGGAGCCGTTGGCAAAGATGACCCTGCTATTCGTTGGCACGCAAAGGCGGAGGCTGTACGCCTGGTTACTTGCAGCTCCCTGACTTACCCCTTAACTTTCAAGGTCCCGCGTAGACGTCGACAACAATACCATAAGCGACCCAAGCTGGTTCGAGTCGTCCTCCAACCAAACCACAGACCTGACCCACAATGCAGCGCTTCAGCCACCTGGAATGTCTGGCCATCCTAATCCAAGGCGGCACTGCTCGAGGCAGTGGACTGGAAAAGGCGCACCAAACAAACGCTGGCGGACACATTGTCTATGAGCGGTCTTAGCTCGCGGACGCCAGAAACATGGCCGAAGATGTACGCGAAATAGTCGCCGTCCCCGTCCTTCTGTTCCTTGTCCCAGAGACTGCCCAGTGGCGACCTAGAATGTCCTTCCTCTAACTTATCCAATGGACACCCTGTCAGATGGTACGACTGCTCTTGTTGCAAGAGAGCTGACCTGTTTCAGTATAAGCATCGCCTCATTCAGCGAGGGCAGCTAAGCAAGGTCGGTGCGGGGTAAGCCTTGCTCCGGATCAACCGTCACAATAAAGAGCCCCGTCCTGCTGGGGTCGCACTACTCAAAGGCGATCTCACCTGCGAGCTCCCTTCTCCGATCACCCAATCTCATTTGGGCTGCAGCTCTGGTGGCGGTGAGGGGGACTTAGTTCCCTGCAATGACAAGAAACGACGACGCCACTGATACCTCCTATGCCCCCGCGTCTGTCGGAGTGGACAAATTGTCATTGGTGTCTCCAATGCGCAATTAAGTGCAGACCACGCAACAAGGGAAGTGTGTGGTCGTTGCACGGTAGGCCACTGCAACTCAGTTGAATGCCCTCTGTTTAGGGTTTGCGCACAAAACCTCGTCAACAGTCCCATCTTGCGGCTTCCTAATTACAGGACGACAGCATGGACCCTCGATGCCATCAGTAACAACTGGTAGACTATGCACTTGTTAGGATGGATGACCGCCTTGACATACTGGTGACAGACGGAGTAAGGTATTGAGTGCTGGGCTGGTCATCATCTTGTCATCCCGAAAATTAGACCGCCTATCCTACCTGGAGGATGGTTCGAAGGGAGAAGGACACCGACGAAACTGGATATGGCAGCACTGAACCTGCCTGGACGCAGGTAGGAGCTCCAGCAAAATGAACGGCCTGGACTGAATATGAATTATGTTAGGGGAATGCGTTTAGGACTTTACAAGGATTTATGGGAACCATCCACACCTCTGCAACTGAGGTCGTCGGACCTGCAGGTCGGAGGAATTCTGACTTGTGCGATGGCACCGACGACGAAATACAACGACTGTCCTCCGGGGAAAAATAACTTCACCGAATCTACTTAAAGCACAGCACAATCCCAAACAACTGCAGCAAAACTGAAGTAAATACTAAAACCTGGTTGGCTACTAAGGCGGACAGATCCCATGAATACACAAACCGTCGTGGAATGGGAGACGTCTTCGCGCTCAACAGGGCGATCTACGTTTCTCAGCTCACACAAAACGACCATTCTACCAGAGAAATCATAGACCCTAGGGCGGTGGTCTGAACACTAGGCGTGTTCTTAACCACCGATCTACAATCTGCGAGGAGGCAACAAACAGACTACCTTAAGTGGGGGACAGTGCCGACCTCCATCGTCCACCACCCATTCAGGACACTGTTTAAGCAGCGCGACACATGTCCATTGGAAATTCGCGGAGTCCCTTCTCAATTCCAACCGAAATCTACGAATATGGAGGTCCTCAACTCATGGACAATCTTGCATGACTGTTACAGGGAGAGCGGTGACAGGGATGAGTTCTACACGATTTCAACGACGCCCTCGCAATTACTCTGTACAAGCTCGAAGAAGGTCGGAGCATGTACGAAAATCACCAGAGAATCTTACTTGATGTTACTAGCAAGATCTTCGCTCCATTGCTACCCAATCGTCTGAAAATGCGCCTGGGGCAAGGGTTCTTCCAGGGAGTCGGTTTGGATTTCGAAAAAAGAGGTGTATAACCATCGATATGGCAACAGTCCAGGAACTACCTAGAAAATGCCAACAAATGCGAATTACCTCATGCATCACCGTGGGTCTCACCAAGGCCTTCGACACCGGAAACTGACGCGACCTCTGGTGAGTAATGAAGAAATTTGGTTGTCCCGAGCGTTTCACGACAACCGGCTGGCACCTACACGATAGTATGATAGAACGCATGATGCACACTTTTTCCAGACGCTGAGTCAGTCAGTTGTCAAAATCGAAACAGTGAGCAGGCAAAACAGGACTGTATGTGCCCTAGTTGGTGAGCGCTTGTCTTTTTGTCTCCTGTGTGGTTGCAGTCGGAGTGCCATCTTGGAGAAGACTAGGCGGTGATCCGTCCAACCGCCCTCGACGCAGGTCGCCGTGGTCGACATCACGTCCTGTCGGTCTCGCTTCCGGAAGACAACATAGCCAAACGACTGCCAGCACCGCGATCTAGGGTGCATCCAGGTCGTCTTCTTCCGCGTCGGAAGGCAGAAAGTGTTCTGTGTAAGTTCTCAGAGGGAGAAGACCGTTGTAGTTGCAGCCGAAGGCTCCGTGGGGATCCAGCACTCCCCTCCCGGCAGCATAGTTTGTCCCGGCCCGGACCATTGAAGTCATCAAGAACTATTAGCTCGCCCGCTTTCGGTACAGTCTCTGGGAGGACGTGCAGGTATTCGTAAAATTTGTTCTTTGCCCCATCGGAACTGATAATTGGGTGGAGCGTAGACACTGACGATGGTGGTCAATTTGGCTCGCCGGAGAGGTAGACGCAGGCACACGAGGCAGTCGCTGATCCCCTGCGGCGGACAGGGCAGTCGTCTTACGATGTTCTGGATGACGAAGGCTATTCCGATGTCACGTCGACCCGCCTATGGGCAGCTGCTCTTGAGGAAAGTGTACCAGGCACCCGCCTCCTCCATTCGGCCCTATGCGGAGAAGGGGGTCTCACTGAGAGCAACGATGTCCACCTTGTAGTTTGCCCGTTTCCAAGCGACTGACACTGTCGTACGCTCCGCCCGGTTGCTGCTCAGATTTTTAAAAAGAGAACGGACATTGCAGGCTGCCAGAGTGAACGGACTCACTCTATCGGCCTGTGGGACGGGGCGGGGAAGATGGAGACCAGATTTGTTGTTTATTTCGACCGTGAATTGTTCATCTATGGGTCGTGGTCTGCGTGCAGATGACCTGAGTCCAGTATTTGTTTAGGGAGCGTCTCCCAACCCTTCCCCGTTAGGTGGTAAGCAGTGCTGTCCTCAAATTGGGCTGCTGAGACATTCCAAACGACCGCAGATCTTCATTATGAGTCACGACTTGGGCTAGCGCGAGAGCGGCCCGAGTTAGCCTGGGCCGCCTACGAGAATGTGTCGCCTTCTGAGTAGGACCCCTCTACACTGGGAAGTGAGAGGGGGGATGGGAATGGGGGTGTAATTACTGTATGCCTTCGTCCGGTTTAGCCCGCCAGTTAGGGCGGTTATCGGGACATGGCCGCTAAATAAGAGTTGTGTGCTAATTGAGGGCCGTGAGGAGTAGCCACCGCGTGTACGAGGCTAACGATGAGATCTACCATATCTGCACGAATTACCCCCTTACTGGACACCCCTAGACCCAGTACTCACAGCGGCCGTTAGACTGTGGACCTTTGTCATTTCTTTTCAACCAAGTGGTAGCCTGGGTTCTTAGGCAGGCATTGGCAGGTAAAATAGATCACGGCCTGAGCACTACGGATGTTGATTACGCTGGGGACTTTGTGGTGTTAATGAGCTGTTTTGTACAACCGCAGGTCCCCGTCACATTCATGTGCAAAGCCGGTTGGACCCAGTCTAGAAATTCACTTCGCCAAGAAGATGGTTGCCTGTGATGACTGGCCTTTGGTGCACGCCTGGCCATTGTGAACAGAGTAAATCTTGGATTAGTGGGTAATTTCTGCTGCCCCAAGTGTGGAGTAGACTTGGATGAAACGAGCTTGGACCATCTTAATCCGAGACCATCGAAAGTTCTGGGATTTTCGCGAAGTCAGTCAAGGATCAATACGTGAGGCCCCAATCAAAGCGGTCCTTCCATACGGATGTGCTCCATGGTTCGTGGACGAGGATATTGGTTTTCCAGAAGGAATTGGCCAATGCCGCTTGAGCGGTATTTGCCAAATTTATATGTCCAATCCCGCCTCCAGCGGATCAAAATAGTCCATCAGCACAACCTGGTAAATCCGCCCTTCTTATTCGCCCATTGCGATGGATCGATTGCGTGTTGTACCATTCCCACGATGAAATATTCCCATAAATCCGAGTTTGGCTGGTAACGGTGATCGTGGTGGACGCAGCGAAACTTGACCTCAAGTGTACATCTAAACCTGTAGTCGTTGGGTGCCACTGACCAAATATCGCTCGGACGCCTCTTATCGATTGACGGCTGTGGGGAACAATAATTTATGCAGCAGCGAACAGGCAACGTGGAGATGGCGAATCGGTAGTAAGTACTATCAGAAGTGTAAGTAGGTAGGTACTTTTCCTAAACCGCAAGAGGGTGACTGTAGTCGACCTCATCATGGATGTTGAACGCAGTGACAGGGTTGGTGCGGAAGGATTGACTCTAACAAAACCCAACTCGTCGCCCAAGAGTCCGAAAAGTGCGTGACCGTAAGGATAACCTTCACATCGGAGGCGTTGAACTTGAGGCGAACGAGGCCGGCCCTGAGGAGACCCTCGTAGATGAGGAGGTAGGAGGTCTCAGTGGCATTGGCGCCAATGTTGAACAGGAGGGCCGGGAGGACAGAAGAACCGACGTTTCAGGGTAGCGATAGTAACGCAACAGCGACTTTACAAGGGCTTCGGTCTCCGCAAAGGGCGTCTGAGAGTGTACATAGAGCATCTTGAGGGTGTGAAGACGTCACTGACACCGAGACGCTATGTTCACTTTCGTTCCGGTCTGTTTGTGGAGAAGGAGAGAATGGGATGACTGTGGAATTGCCGGCGACGGCGAAAAGTATGTATATTAAGGCGGTGCAGTTCTTGCCGCTGTTAAAATTCGGCATTGTGTTCTTAATTCCATACTTCCGCCAGACAGTCATTCGACAGACATACGCAGTACTGGCCACGAAGAGCAGGTTGTCGGGTTAGTTGGTGGCCTACCGAGCCGCTAATTAGCGTTTGAGATTTATTATAGGGAGAAATGCGCTGATTTGCTGGGAGGACGGAGTTCCCACTGTCGACA